TAATTTTATATGAATTAAACAAAATGTTTTACGTTGCAATTTTTTTGCCAAAAAAAGAAAAAATTTATTGCTTTTCAATTACGCTTCCATACATTTTATGTAGCACTCAGTGCTTCAACTAATACATTCTTAATAATAATTTATTGTTTATACACAATTTTTATTATTCATTATTTAAAATTTATTGTTATTTACAATTTGCTATTACACTTCATCAAATGTATTTCTAATGATAATTTATTTTTATTTACAACTTAATGTTATAATTTTATTGTCAATTCAAACAAATATTTTTTGATGCAATCAGTTACAGGTTAATTAAATGACTTATTAAAAATTATTTAATGTTAAATTTCAGTTCATAAATGACAATGATTTATTCTTTATCTTTGACAAAAAAAAAAACATTTATTTCTGCTAGTATTATTATTACAATCAATGTATCATTAACCAATAATTGTGATGAAAAAAAAAAAGATGAGTGAAATAAGGTGTAAATAGAACTTTGAACACTAAAATGTCTTTTAAGGTGTGACAATCCGGTTCCGTTCCAGATACGCGTCCGTTAAAATTCTCGTCTGCTTATTTTGCAATAATTTCTTTTTTTCTTTTAATTTAACTTTTTTTTTCCTTTCATTTTAAGATGTATTAGTAAAACATTGTACTTAACACTTGCTAACATTTCCATCTTCTTTGCCTTCTCTTCTACCTTGCAATTTTCTTTTGACAAATTTTTACCTGTATTTTTCATTTTACCTAAAAATGATATATAAATATGTTTTGATAGTGCTTAACATTTATAAGTAATCATTTGATGACTACATAATTGCACTTTTTTTCGTTTTTTAATTCTTTAATTTTTATTGTACAGGTAAAATGACTTCTACTAATGCTGTTGCTTATTCGGCAATTGGCTTATCACTGTTAAGCTTTATGATTAGCATTTATTCATTAAAAGGCTTAGCATCTAAAATTGGTGCTATTAATGCAAAGATTATTGAGGAAGCAAAAGAATTTCGTGGATTGGAAAGTTATATTCGGTAATTTTAATCATTTTCTTTTTCTTTTTCTTTCAAATTATTAGCAATTTACTGATTAGCTTTTTATCCTTTTTGGTTTACTGCATTTTAAATGATTTAGATAAGATTATACAACTTAAAAAGATTAATTTTCTATTCAAATTATCCATATATACCAATAAATAATATATAATAATAGATTCTAATTGCTGTGTTTTGATGAGAAGAAAATTTTCAATAATTATAATGAAAATTTTTAAAAGAGTTCAAAAACCAAATGAAAGAAATGAAAAAATCAAAAAGATACAGTAATTTTTTTTTTTAATAAATATATTATTATAAAAACTTAATTTAATGAAATTAATAATTGCGAGATAATGGATTATGAAAAAAATGGATGTGAAATTGTTATATGAAATTGAAATTAATGGATGAGTCAGAAAAGTAAAGTTCTTATAAATAATTTATTAGAATCCAAAATTAAGTTTTAAGTTGGATTTTTTTAATTTTTAAGATTTTCACTCATAAATACACATGCGTTTTAAGTCTTTAATCGATTAATAATTTTTTTTATTTTTTTACAGAGATGAATATCATTACAAAATGGCTTCAGCTAGTTTTGACAATATTAGGGTTGCAAGACAAGCTCCTCAATGTCAATGCAATCCAAATAATAGATGTCCACCTGGACCTCCTGGACCACCTGGTTTAAGCGGACAAGATGGAACACCTGGTAAAGCAGTCATAAAATACTAACAAAAATGCTTGCATTTATAATAAAATTTTGTCAACAAAATATCAAAATTTCCTATTCCGTGCATAGAATGTTTATTTCTATGAATTAGTCTAATTGCAGGTCTACCAGGACCAGCTGGTGCACCAGGTCTTCCAGGTAACATGCCAGCTATTAATTATAACTATGAAGGACGTTGTCGCTCATGTCCTAATGGATCACCAGGATTACCAGGACCACCAGGACAGCCAGGACGGCCAGGTAGCAATGGATTAAGAGGACCAGCTGGAAATCGAGGACCAAATGGTAATAGAGGATTACCAGGTCCACCTGGCCAATCAGGTGAAGCAGCACCACCAGGTCATCCAGGAGAACAAGGAATACCTGGTCCACCTGGACCACAGGGAGGAAAAGGATTACCAGGACCGCATGGATTACCAGGACAGCCTGGACCACCTGGTTCGCCGGGACAACCAGGTTTGGGAGGTAATCAAGGATTACAAGGACGTCAAGGAACACAGGGACCAGTAGGACAAGCTGGAGCAGATGGACAACCTGGTTCACCTGGTCAAAGAGGTACACCTGGTACACCCGGTGAAGACGCTGCCTATTGCCCGTGTCCACACCGACGTATCGCTATATCACTTCAGAAAGCCTAAACAATCATTTCTTTCATTGTTTACAAAATTTATGTTATAGTAATGAATGAAATGAATTATTTGTTGTATTTACCTTGTTAAAACCATTTTAAAAAAGTTTGAAAGAAGAAATTATAGAACTATTGATAAGCCATTGGTCGTAGGTCACAAATATATTGTTTTTATTGAAAATTGAATTGAATTTTATGCTCTTAATCAATTAGTTCATTAGAAAGTTATGATCCGAAAAGTTTGAATTAATCAGTTGATTTATTTGTTTTGTCCATAAATGATAGTTTTGTTTGAATTTGAAATTAGACCTAATGTTCTTATCAAATTCTAAATCGATTCTGCACTTTTTTTATTGCTTATCTTAAAATATGATCATCAAATGTAGCATCAATATTTTTTTTTTCTTTTTGCAAAAATTAATACATACATATAATTAGACATGAAAGATTTATTAATATCACTAAAAAATAGACGGTCACAACTGATGATAATATCATTTTAGTAATCATCAAAAATTTTTATTAAAAAAAATATATGCCTAATCGTGATAAAATTTTTAATTAATAGAATTAAAATTTAAATTTCAAACTTTTATGTATGTCTATGCATAATCATTGTTTAGCTTAATGAAAAGAATTTGTCATGCGCAAGATAATCCCCAACTTTCACCTTATTGCACTACTTTGCTTTAAGTGATGAAATACAAGTTTTCTCTACTATTCAACTCAAAAAAAAAAAAAAAAAAAAAAAAAAACAAAAAAAAAAAAAAAAAAAAAAAAAAAAAAAAAAAAAAAAAAAAAAAAATCAACTCAAAAAAAAAAAAAATTTGATTATCGTTAAGCTAATTATCATATTATTTAGTTCCTCTTCTACCTAAATAAAAAACATTTTTGATAAAATTGTTAACAATTTATATCTTAAAAGAAAAAAAGATTCCCAGGTATCAAAAAAAAACCATCAAATTATTAATTACATCAGAGGAAAATGTTGGAAAATCAAAATCCTAGGTATTGATCACTAATTGAATTAATTTTTACTAAACAAATAAATTGATTTTTCATTCGTAGTTATTTGTAAAGCTAAGGGTTGTTTGCAACCAAATTTTTATGTTCCTTCAAAAAAAGAAGTGAAATCCAAAAATTTTTTTAAAAGAAATTTTAAAATAATAAAAAAAAAATCCATACTTTATGTTATGTAGTTTTATAACTTTACAATATTATACTTATTTCATATTTTTATAATATACATTTATTTTAATTTTATTATATTGTATAAAATTTTATAATTATTTCAACAAAAAAAATTGAGTGTTTAAAAGTTTTTTTTTTAAGAAATTTCGGAATAAAAAAAAACTTCACATTTTATGTTATGCAGTTATTTTATAATTTTACAATGCTATAATTATTTCACAACTTTATAATATTATAATATTGTCTCACAATATTTTACAGTACGTTACAATATTTTTCTCTAATTCTGTTAATTTTTATTATTTAGCGATAAAATCAATGTAAAAGATTAGAAGAATAAAAAACAAAAGAATGAAAAAACTGATAAATAAATAAAGTCAACAAACTAAGTGATATAAATATTCACAAAAATGTGTAAAAAAATCATTGGATGACAATGCGACACAATATATTGATTAAAAAATTGGTTTTAGTTTTCGCACTGATTGAATAACAGAGGCAGTGCTGGTGACAGTTCTGTTTTTTTTCTCCTCAAAAAAAAAGAATTTTATTTCTCAGAATGAAAATTTATTACCTGCATAGTTAGCAAATTTTTTTAATATCAAATTAATACAATTAATTTAGAAAAAATCATTCATTGATGATAATAAATAATCAGTTATCATTCGTATACTTTTTACCTTATTATTTACCAATTTCTAATTTGCCAGAATAACTTATTTGTCTTAGCTAATTAATTTAATCATTATAATTTATCATTCATTTATTATCATTTTCCAACGCTTTTCTTCTCGTATGTTTTTAGTTTTCGCACTGATTGAAAATATTTTAAGCAACATTAAAATTATTTTAAGCATTAATTTAATTAGTCAAGTTTATAAAAAAAGAAAAAAAGTTACTTAACTTGTTCTTCACAACTTTATTTTTCTTTTGCAAATTTGATGCTTAAAATAATTTTAATGTTGCTTACGATGCTTAAAATAGTGATTTTAATGAAGTGGAGTTTTAATTAGCAAATCGAAACATATTTTATCAATTAATGACAAGTATATATATAATTTTATCACCTTATCACTTCTACTGCTAAACGTTAACAGTTTGTAATATTTTTGTAAATTATGTACACTACAAAATGTTAGTTTAATACTTTAAAAAAGGAAATGAGTTACCGATTGAAATTAATAATGGTGAAAAATATTGGTTGAATTTAACAATAATAAAAAGCTTAGTAATTAATTTGTAAATTGTTAACTGCAAGTAAATATCTGTACAATAACGAAATAATACTGCTTCAAACTTCAAAAATAACAAAAAAAAAAACAAGTTATAGTTATTTGTCAATAATCTTTCCTTTCTTTTTTTTTTTTTTTTTTTTTTTTTTCTGTAATAATTTTTTAAACAGTTTTAGATGATTATATCAATCAAACTTAATGTGATACTTCTTAGCTGTTTACCATTAACCGCATTATTTGTCGCAGAACGTTCCACAAAAATGTGCCAATTATGTTTATTAGAAATGGTTGGCATCATTCATATTTTAAACGATAGCAAGGTTAATTTAATTTATTTATTTTTTATATCATTCATCAGGTTTTGCTTTGATATCTCTTAAAAAATATTGCAATTTCATACATATTTAATACAATGAAAATAATTTCTTAATTAATTAAATGAACTTAAAGTTTATGATTAATTGATCAAATTACTGATCTTCTTTTTCTTTCTCTTCCTTGCAGTTTGAAATGTTTTTTATTTTTTTTTAACTTTCATATTTTACATAATATTATCGTGATAGAATATAATTTTAAAATACTATTCGACAAAATTATTGGTTGAAAAAAATCTCTTTCTCTCTTTTCCCCTCTACCCACTAGCTAGATTCTTTCTGTTTCTTTTATTTAATTTTTATTTAAGACAACAATACTGGTAAAAATCGATGAGAAATGTGACAAAATTTGTGGAATGGATATGGATTTGTATCGAATATGTGTTACAACAATGAGTAAAATTTATTTAAAAATTGCCGGTCAAATGGAAAACGAATTTAATCCAAATATTTTTTGTAAAAAGATGCATATTTGCCCGAAATATTTATAAAATTTATTTTTTTTTCATTTGTTTAAATGTAGAAAAACGCTCAATTGTAATAAACAAAAAATAATATTTAAATAAAATTAAGCATTTTTTATCATTTTTTGCTTTCTTTTTGTAAATTTTTTTCTTTTTTGCTTTTGCAAATTGTTGCAAATAGCTTTTCCCACTTATCAATCAGAGTAAGTAATGCTTAATGGATTTGCATTCCCAATGAATTTTTTTGTGTTTTGGAAGAAAATAAATTTGAATTTTAGCTATTTTGCACTTTTTTTGCAATTTAAGTGTAAATTGCTAGGATTACAAATGCATTACAAAAAAAAAAAAGAAAAAAAAAAAGAGTATGGAATAAGTATTTTGACGTAATTAGCAAAATATTTAATAGTTGAACTAATCATTTTATAAATGATAGCTACTTCATTTTTCCATTTATTTACTTATTTCTTTTTCCTTTTTTAAAATATATACATATATGTATTTCAGAAATTAGAAAATTATCAATGTATGGTTGATAAAATGATCTATCGTTTTATTACTATGTGTATTTTAATAAGCTATTTCATTTATTCATTTATTTATTTATTTGTTCATCTATTTACTCATTTTTATCGTTTATTTTTGAAATATTTCAGAATTTAGCAAATTACGAATGTAATATAATTGATAAAGTATCGATTGTTTTATTACAATTGTGTATTTTAATAAAAATGTTTGATAGATTGATCACAAAAAATTAATTTGCAAAATATCAATTGTTTAATTTGAATATATATATATATAATATTCTCTTCATGTAAATTCTGATTAAATCCTTTTTTATTAGTTTTATAAGACTAGTGAATTATCTTTATTGAATTTAATTAACTCTGACATTCATCTTAAATTTCTTTTGTAAAAGATACCTGCATAACTTTGATATTTTAAATTTACACATTACTTGCTACACTTTTTATAATATTACTGAATGAGATGTAATCAACAACATTTTTCAACTAAATGCAAATTATTTATAAAATGTAACCAATAAAAGAAAAAAAAATTAATCAGAAATATTAACTGAAAATGCTAATTCATATATTTTACACTTTAATATTAATTTTTGATCATAGTAATTTCTGATCGTAATCATATTAAAACTCATATTGATATAATTTATATATGTTACTTTATTTCATATCCTTTTTTCAGTTACTTGCAATTTTTTTGACAATGAATAACTAAATATCATAAACAATTTGTACTAAAAGATTTAAAATTATAAAATTGTATTAAATGTTTCATTTTAATTAGCAAATAATTTTTCAAACTTTTTGCATTTTGTATTTAAATTAATATAATTTTACATGAGATAAATCATTATATATATTTTATACGTGATAAATCATTTCTTTTTAATTTAATTTACTTGAATAGAATATAATTATATTTGAATGAATTGAAATCTATGGTTTTTGGTTTTTGAAATATTTATTTATAATATACTGGTAAGTTTAATTGCTAAGAGCAGAATATTTTAAATAAATAAGAAGAGTAAATAATTATTAAAATTTTTGGAATTCATTTTTAAATTATTTTTACTTTTTTTAATTTTTTGGAATATTTTTCAATTCTACGATGAAAGTGTTTTCATTTTTTTCATTTCGAGAATATGATATAAGTAATATATTTATATTTTCAAATTTATCTTTCTCTAGTAGGAAAATACAGATAAGTGTAAGCAACGAACGTGAAATAACGATTTGCAACAATTAAATTTCGTACGAATAACCTACTGCTATTATAATTGAATTATTTCTTTATTTTTTCTTGTAATATAATTACTATTGCTATTACTATTACTAATCGATGTTAATTTATTAAAGAATTCAAGTAGTGAAAATGAATTTTATTGAAATATATTTATTTCACTTTATTAAGAGTTAGTTACTGCTAATATTAGATAGAATATTTTGTTCATTCAAAAAAGAATGGAAAAAACTTTTGGACTAAAGTAAAGAATAAAGAAACCGATAGTAATGACGGTATATTAGTAATAATTCTTCCAATATTCAATTCAAATTGCGTTTTTAGATTTGTGTTTTTAAATTACTACCCTATATTATATGAAATATTTGCATACTTTTAACGGTTATTTGCTTAATTTCCATTATTTTTTTATTGATTGCCTCTTTGTTTTTTATTTGAAATGGAGTTTTTTCTGCACAAAATATGTCCAAATTTATTCCACTACTTATTCTAAACTTTTCAAGAATCTACCTGATTTCATTTTTTCATTTCTACATTTCTTCAACTCTTCAATAGCATTCCTTCTTTTATTCAGTGATGACACTAAATTTTATTATTAATAATTAAAATTTTTTTTTTCGGCTTTTTCTAAAGGGAAAAAAATTCTTGTTTATAATTGATTATTTGAGTGAAGTGCAAAACGAGAAATGTATATTGCAGTGTTCATTTTGATTTTGATGAAAAGAGCACAGCAAAACTTCGTGTACCAATGCTGCACTTTTATCAATTCAACAATTGGAGAAAAAAATTTCTTCATTTCAGAATTTCAGTGAAAAGAAAAAAAAAAACGAAAACAAGAATGTCCTTTTTCTTTTCTTTTTTCACCTCTCTCTTTTTCTTTTCTTTTCCTCCCTCTTTCTCTCTCCGTTTTTTTTTCAAAAGTTTTTCAAAAATTCAACAATAATTTTGCTAATTTTTTCTTCCTTGTTTTTTTTTTTTTTTTTACAAAATTAATAATACTGCAAATTTGATAAAACTTAAAATATTCAAACATACAAAATCTTTATTTATTATACTTTTTGCAGCTTCAAAAGTAACATAGAATTTTTTGCAAAGAAAAAAAAAATTAAAATTTTTGCAAATTTCTTTACGCAAAAAAGGAAGAAAGAAGATTCAATTTTTTGTGCAAAGTCAGCAAAGAAAAAAGTGCAGGAAGTAATTATATGCACTAAAGATTGTGCGAAAGTATATCAATGCTGCAGTGTGCTGCATAACACTGATAATAAGGGAATAAATAGATTTATCGAAAGTATGTCAGTACTGTTAACACGAGCAGATTAATTTATCAAAAATGTATCAATGCTTCAGTATGTTGCGCATCACTGATAACAATTATGGATGAAGTGAATACTCATTTAACACATTATAGTACATACAAACATTCTTAATTTGCCTATCACTGATAACAATTCCATTGTGATGCATATAGACAAACCAAATTCCAGATAACAAAATATGCCTCATTTCTAAATAAATGAAGTACGATGATATTTTAGCAAATTTTAGCTGAAATTTTCACATTAATTAAATCTGACACAAATTTTCTTTTACAATTTTTCTTTTTTTATAAATTTTATTATAATGTTTCATTACAATTTTAATTTTATAAAAACGGATCAATATTTTCTTTTAAAAATCATGCAGTTTTACCTTGTTCCTTCTTTTTTTAAGTTAAACATTGAATAATTTTATTAAAAGTTGAAATTTATAGGAAAAAAAGTTTATTTTGACAAGTTGTTATTATTTGCGATGATTGCTCAACAAATACTAAAGACTAATTTTGCAAAAAACAACCAATATTTTCCTTTTAAAAATATGCAATTTTATTTTCTTCTTTTTATTTTTAAATGAATATTCTCTTTTAAATTTCGATTTTAAATTAAATAAATAAAGAAAGGAGGTGTATGTAATTAAAATTGCATATATTTTTTTTAGGAAGTAAAAATTTAATAACCTGAGTAAATGTAAATAATTTGCTTCTCTTTTTTTTCATACATTGCTTTATTTTGGATGAAATTTTTTTAAGAAAAATGAAACTTTTAAAACTTTTTTTGTTTTCGGAAGTAATTTTCTTTTTTCTACACAAGAAGATAACGTGATAATAATATTCAAATGAATGTGAAAAATGGTACAGTGCATTTGTACTTCGAGCAACTAATTGATGCACTTTTGGATTTAAATTTTAAAAATATTAAATGAAGAAATAAAAGATTTACAGTAAATTGCAGCAACTATTTCTTTTTTAAAAAAATTAAAAATCAATTTAAATTATGCAGAGCAGAACTATAAATGAAATGATTTGTTATAGAAATTTTTTCTTTTATTGCTCCGCAATTCCAAAAATGTGGTATATATATATATATATATATATATATATATCCTGGAATGATTACTTCACAAAACTTGAATTTAATTTAATTATATATATTATCATGATATGCCAACAATATAATCTTGGCATTTAATGGTGAGAAATATTTAACTGAATTAAGCGGTAAATTGAAAAAAGAAAAACTAATATTTATTTTGGTTTATAGGAAGAATTGGTCATTCAAAAAAAAAAAAAATTAACTTCGTATTTGTTACTGATAGTGATAGATTGATATGATAGTGGACGATGTGATATTTATTCCGGTGTTTTTTTAGATTTAATTATACTAAGTTTTTATGATATACAACAGTATAATCTTAACATTTAATAAAAGTAGCACTTAATTGCTCAGCTAAAATATCCTTGCAAAAAAAAAAATGAAAGTCATAATGCATGTGAAGTTGTGTGAAACTTATTGAAAACGAAATTAAAGTATACGTTTAACTGCTTGATACTTTACTACAAGAAATAGTAAAGACAGAAGTTATCAATTATGAAACATTTATGTTTAGTTTCAAATAAAAATGCGAAGATGTTCGATTTGTCAATGAAATAAGAACGCTTTTTAATTTACAAGAAAGTTTAAAATACAACTAATTGTAACAAATTTTCATTTCGATTGAAAAAAGACAAAAAAACAGGGAACCGCAAAGTTGAAATTTACACCATAGAATTTTTATTTAGTAAGCGCTTAATTAGGTAAAACATTTTAAATTTCAGTAATATGAATATAAGAGGTGAATTATATTACAAATTATCTTATCTAATTGTTTTTTGCATAGATGGTATGAGCTAGAAACATCTGATATTTAATATTATTTTTCAAGTATTTAAGTGCTTTAATTTTTTAACAAATACATTAGCTTATTTGCATTCAGCCCACAAAGTAGTAAATCTTAGTTCAAACAAATTGACGCAATCACTTTTTTTTTTTGTTGAACTTCGTAACAACAGCAATTTCATTTGTAAAAAAAAAAAAAAAAAAAAAAAAGTTTGTTAATATCACTACACTAAATTGCCTTCTTTTTTTCTCAGTTACCTTACTCTCTGTGTCTGAACCTCCCTTCTCCCTTACATATAATTTTCCTGACAGATGATTATATGCAAATTTCCTGGATAAATGATAAAATTATCAAAATTATGATTTATTATATGCAAATTGATTGAATGAATGATAAAACCATTAAAATTATTTTAATCATTTTAAAAGGACTAATAATTTTCATTAAAAAAAAAAAGTAAAAATTTTCCTCATTAAAAATAATTTCTCAAATAAATGATAATACTATTGAAATTGTATTAACTGATTAAGTGCAAATTCTTTGAATAAGTGATAACGTTGTCAAAATTATGATAACTAATTATTGCAAATCCTATAAGCCATTAATGATAATGTGATATAAAATTGTGATAACAGATTGTATACTAGTTTCTATAAAATGTATACTAAAAAAAAATAAGTGATAACAATATTAAAAGTGTTATAACTGATTATATGGAATTTTTTGTTAAATTTCAAATTCAGAAAAAAATACAAATGAATTTTGATAATATTATCATTTGTTTTTTTAAGTTGAAATTTAAAAAAAAAAATTCTATTTATCTCTTTTTTTGTAGTAAATGAGTACCAGTGATTTAAAGGTTTTATTTTGTTGAATTAGGGATGAGTTTGTTGATGTTACAGCATATGATTACGATAATGAAAAGGCATTTGCACTTTGCACCTTCTTTCTATGCTTTTTTTTTTTTTATAAATCTAAAAAATAAAAGACAAAGTGTATTTGATGGGTGTGTCAGTTCAAAGTCATTTTTATAAATTCAAAATAAACTTAAACTTCTATTACGACAGATTTAAAGTGATCACAATTGGAAAGCTTTTTATCTTGGATATTTTCATATTGCAAATGGTAAGAATTATTCTTCTGCTATCAAATATTTCTCAATGAAATACACCAGGAACATATCTTAGACAGTTTATTTTATTTATCATATTATCTTATCAAATTTTGCAGTTCAATTTTTTTATCATATCGTTTTATCAAATATTAATATTCCTAAATTGGATATAGTTTAAAGTTATTTTCTTTATTAAAGAAGCTGAAATGATGAGATTAAGTGATTACGGTTTATAATCAAAGACAAGTATAATAAGTTAAAGTTTGAAGAAAAAAAATGATTAATTCAAAAAAAAATCTGTCATATTATAGTAGAAAAGTTTTTTTTTTTTTTGCTTTAATTGAATAAATTTTTATTTTTTTTTAATAAATTAAAATATTCCACAAGTATAATTAATTACAATAACACATATACAATATATTAGTTTCACAGAATACAGTCGTTAAAATCAAATGTGAATATACGCAAATCAATACGTGTAATTTTTTTTCAACACTTAAAATAATGAAGTAACATAATATTCTGCTCCTATGTATAAGTAATCTTATCATATTGTAAAAAAAAATATTAAAAATTTTGATGTATAATAAAAAGTTTTGATACATGTATAATTGATATAATAAAAAATTGTATCATTCAACCATTGATTTTTTTTTTATTAAAATTGTATCAATGAAATGATAAGTGTTAATTAAACAAACTGATAATGGTTATTTGTTGCAATTAGAATTCTATCATGAACTAATATTTCAAATAATAGAGCAAAATTTGTTATAAATAAGAAATTCTGGCAGTATTTTCTAATTAAAACCAAATATATTAATTGTTTATTGCATTTGAATCTTAAATTTAACTATTTTTTTCAAAAGTGCTCATTTTTTTTACAAAAGTTTTACACTATAAGTTTTATATAATAAAAAAAAAAAATTATGCTCGGATCTATTAGCTAGCTTTATTTATTCACTTATTTATTATATATTAGCCTATCAGAGACAAATCCTTATGCATAATAATAAATACAATTATTAAATGTTTACATAAACAACTCTTAACGATTCACTTAAAATAAAATTATAAAGTTTAACAATTGAAATCATCACTTTTTACAAGAGGACATATTTTTTGTGTACTTACAAATTACATTATTTACCTATAAATTTTAGAAATTCGAGCAAAAAAAAAAAATACAAACAAACAAACAAATACAAATAAAGCTATCTTTGCAAACAAAAAATTAACATCTTATTAACCATTCATTCATCTTATATTCTATTTTACATTTATTACTTCCTTTTTTTCCTAATTAAACTTTTTAAACTTATAATTTTCTTTTTGTCTTAACTTAAACTTTTTTGCTTTTATTGAAACTTTCATATGTTAAATTTTAACAAATAAAAAATTTCAGATATTTCAACGATTTACATTATTAGCTATATTTATGCAAATAATATTAATTAATGAATGTATGACAAAAAAAAGATTATGCGGTGAAGCATTATATCGTCATTTGATAAGAGTTTGTACATTTGGCTATGAGACAATGCCATGCTTCAAATCACGTTTCACTCCACTGATAATAGAAAATGTTAATAGTACGACAAATAGTAAGCTTTTATTTTTTTCTTTTTTTATTAAAATAATTATAATTTTAAGTATTAATTAATAAATGTGACAAATTCATTTATGAAAATAATGATTTTGTTTATTATAATTTGAAGAAATTTGATTAAATATTTGTAAACACAGAATGAATTTTAATTAAATATATACAAGTATTTAATCAAATATATATAAATATATCAAATATATATCTAAGTATACAAATATGTATGTAAGTATACCATATATTTACACCTTGAATTTTATACATTTGCTTTATTATTACTTAAAAAGATCAATCATATTAGAATTTGATCTGTTATCCATTTGATAGTTTTGTCATTTGATCTCTTGTCGTGTTTTGATATTTGTTATTAATTTAATCATTTAATAAATATTTTTGTTATAGAGTTCAAATCATTTGCTTTTTATTACAATAGTCAAAGTTTATTTTAATATATAATTTTTTTTTGCTTTCGTAATTTATATTCATACTTTTTTCTATCGAATTTATGTTATAAAAATAATGATATTAGAACAAATAGTAATTTATGAATTGATTTATATCAAATGCATTTCGGACTTAGCTACTGAGTATTTTTTTTTAATGAGTAAAGAGGGAAGAAGTGAAGTGCAAAGCAATGCACTGAATTAAACCTTTATTCTTAATTGCAAATTCATCATTTTCTAATCAGTTAATTTCCTTTAACGAAATATTAGAATTAATATAATGGAGAAAAAAAAGTTCTGAAATACAAAAAGATAGTAACACTATAGGTAAATCGGAATATTCACTTAATTTTTTGACTTTATTTTCAACTTATTTCTCCACTGAAGGATAGAATTAAGCAATAAAGTGATTATTCTTTAATTATTTTATTTTTAAATTATTTAATTTCATGTTATGTTTATTGTTGTGCTCATTTTAATATTCAACAGCATGGTGCTTTACTTGAAAAGTGCTTAATTAGTGCATCTTTGTATAGGAAAACTTTTACCGCCCTTGCTATAATGATCCGTTTGTATGATGATAATGATGATAATAATGAATAATCATGACTTTTGAACAATGGAATCTAAAAGCATCACGTTCAGGATGTGACGCTTTTCATTAAACAAATACAAGCAAATACTGATGTATTAAAGGACATATTTATATATTAAAGAACAAAGGGCATATGAACTTAACATGTAAACATTGTTATGATGAAATACCAACAAAATGCATTAATTAAATCTTAAATTGATTTGCACATTTGACGTGCTAACAATAATAATAATTATTATTATTATTATGGTAATAATAATAAATAGTAATAATAAATATTTCTTCAGATTTTCATCGAAGAGCAATTATTGGAATAGCAAATCAGTGTTGCAAAAGCGGTTGTACCGTATTGGATCTCCGAACAACATGTTGCTTTAAGTTATCATGTTTGACAAAATGCTATCCAAAATCAAATTATGAAAAACGTATTAGAAATGTTACCAATATTAAAATTAATTAATTCTTAATATGATTGCAATTACAGTAGTAAAAAAAATTTTACTTTTATTATTTTTTATTTCGAAAAGAAAAAAAAACGATTTAAATTAATGAATCCAATTTGTCATTTTACTATTTGTTGTTATTTAAAACTTAGTCAAAAGACCAAAAATTTTAATAATATTAAGAATTTCAATGTTGGTCACATAACAGAGGAAATATTTTCCCTATGAAAATAACTGATAGAAATGTCAATGATATATTTGTGAGTTCTTTTCACAAATTTTTGTATTAAAAAAATAGTTATAATACCAAAGAATGAAAAAATTCTGCAAAAATGTGAGATTTTCAAATTTCATCTTATCATTTTATTTATAAAGCATTTAATTACTTGTGTAATTGTAAATTAACTCACAATTATAGATATAATTTGTAAATTGCTAACGTGATTTAATTAGGGTTTCTTAGAAAAATGTGTTATGATTCCATGGTTTTATATTATGATTATCATGTGAATGTAAATAAATAACTTAATTTTTTTTCCTTTTTTTAAATTTTGAAGAAATCTGTTACATGAAAATGTAGATTTTTGACTATAGTTTTAATTTAACAATACTACATAATGATTTTTGAATATTATTTGTTGTTTGTAGCAGCAATATTCAAGTAGTTAATGATTATAAGTAATTAATTAAGTAATAGTTTTTCCCAGCAGTATTTCTTAATGTCTGTATATTTGTTTGTCTTCTTCTTTTCTTTTTTTTTAATCTAGTTTTTCGTTTTATCTAAAATCTTTTTTTAATCTTTAATCTAACGTATATTTATGGAACAGTGATAAAAGATAAAATTATATTATAAATTTGAAATAATTCCAAATTTGAATTCACTTTACAATTACTCTGTTATAAGTTAATTGAACTACTTTGAATAGATCAAATCTGTTGATCTAATTATTAGTAACTGTCATTAGTTTTTTCATTGATTTTGCTATGTAATTAAAATTTGACAAAAAGTTTTGTTTTACAAAAATTAAATATCAAATAGATGAAAGAAATTTATGTGACCTTTACTAAAGGACGACTAGCAGTTAATCAAGGTGAAATTCGTCAGATTGTTCGTGAAATACTAAAAAATATACTGTTAATATCTAATTATTATGCTTAACTGTGTTCTTCTAGAACTTAATATTAATTTAAAAGTTTGATATTAATTAAAATTTAGAAGTGAAAATTCAAACAATGAAGAGTTAACAAAAATTATTGATTGAAATACATCCTAGTTAACTTTTCCATAGTATTATAATGTCTTTTTTCTAAATAAGAAATGCAAATTTTGAACATTTTATGCAGTTTACTTTTAATTTTCTCATTTTCTCACCATACTATATGTTTTGTCAAATGGCAATCGGTCAGACAACGTAAGCTGTTTCATTTTTTTTATTGAACACATCGAAAATTCATTTATCAAGATTAGTGGTAGGTTTAACATTTGAAGATTTGATTTCCACAATTTGCTAACAACAAGAAAAGAAATCTGCTTTTTAAATATTTTAAATGAAAAACTTATCATTGATTAATATAATTTAGAAAGTAATATTTAAATGAAATAAATATACTAGTAATAATACAAATGTATTAAAAATGATTAAACTATGACATACTTATATATAATTTAATAAAAAATCAGCATTTGGTATATATTGCAGAAGTTATTACTGTATGATTGATGGGACATTATTGTTGCTGATAATGAATCAATTGACCTTAGCTTGGATTCTTTATGAATTGTTAAATCCAACATCGATATGTTGGAATGAAATCATACAATATGCTAATGAAACTTACATTGCATTTGATAATCAAATAATGCAACAATTTGGATTAATCAACCAACGATTGTATGCCATTTTGTAATAATGACTATTAATAACAATAATAATAATAATAATAAATAATGTTTCCTGGAATGGTATTTTAAATTAAAATTTAGACAAAACCAAATGCATCAGATGATAGAAATATGCATAGAAATACGATTGGAAACATTGTTGGGCAAAAGTTTGGACATAAATAATATTAAAACATTGAAATTTCCATTTCGAAATCAGGTAATAATCCTCTGAAAAGTAATTTGAACAGTGTATCATGAAAAAATTCCAGACAAAAAAAAAAAAAACAGCCATATTTATTAAAGTATTTGTGTCTACACTGATTATTAATTATTTAATCAATTGGAGTTTAACTGAAAAAGTTGGATTTTGAAAATGTAATTAACAATTGTAATGTTTCATAAAATGATTTTATAAATTTCAGATGATCACAGGCTTATTCAAAGGAATACTGGCACTACTGACGAATAGTTGGCATATTTGGCTTATATGGCATGCCAGATTACCTACTACTATAACACCTAATAATGTAGCACTTCCAGTATTGAATATTGGCGGTAATTGAATACTACTAATAATAAATTAAAGTAGGTAATGGAAACTTGAAATGCTTTTTTCTCCAAAAAAAAAAACTCTTTATATTATGGCATAATAGAAATTATGTAAGAAAAAAAGAACTAGAATCAAAGAACTATTCTAGAAATTATTTACTAAATTATCTGAAATAAGTATTATTACTCGGTATTAAATTATTTACCTATTGTTCTCTAGTAAAGCAAATTTTCCGTAATTTTTTTCAAAGTTTATTGCTTAATAGAAAATTCTTGAATGTTTCGTTTGTAAAATTAATTAAAATTTAAGCTCTCAGTTCTTTATTCTGGATTATAATATCAATTATTTATCAGTGGTCAAATTTATGGTATGAAAAAAGTTTACTTGAACAAGCGCCTACATTACCATTTGCTGAAATACGAGTTCGTTTATTGTATCACTATAGTAAGTGCGCACACTGTTAAAGTGTCATTTCAAACTGCACTGAAAAATCCAGTAAAAAATCTGGACAAAATAATCAGTGATAAATGATAAATTCTAGTTCATCAACGATAGATGAAATAGATATTTTATTTATCAATGATAGATGAAACATATACACAAGAGATTTCATCTGTGACAAATAAAATGAACAGATGTGAGTTTGAATTGTCAGCGATAAATGAGATAAACTGATATGCCAGTACAATTTGTAAACTCGATAGCTACTACTAGATTACTAAGAAGATAACAGTAGTCAAAAGAAAGTGGAAATCCATAGACGCAAAGTGCTAGTAAATTGGTAGAGTCATTATCACTATTAATCAATATTGCTATTAACTAATTAATAAAACTATCATCGTTTTCAGTTGCTATTATTAATTTCAACTGCAATTCTAATTAATTGGTTTCTGCTTTATACGCTCTACCGAGCATTCATTGAAAACAAGAATGGTATAGCAAGAATACTTTCAAAAAGTGATGAAAAATCAAAATAATTTAAAATTTGTTGTTAGGCATGAAATTAGTTAATTTATGTGTTGAAATAAATAAATTGATTAATCGTTGTATAGGCTTGGAATTAGCTTAATTTATGTGTTGTATAAATAATTAATTTTTGTGGTGAAAAAAAAATCTGCAAAATAATCTGCATAGATAATTATCAATTTGAAATCAAATCAGTTGCCAGGTCTCCATACTTGTTTCAACTCTTGTAATTGACCAATTTAAAATGTGATGTGTTATTTTTGTCTTAAAAATTATCACTTCGTTCATTGTCAATGGACTTACTTTTTCTTCAACTTTTCAATTTATAATTGACATAATTTCGTCGTTAAAAATGCTCCATATTTAAATTTGTTGAATTGAAATGAAGAAATGCATTGAAAATGTTAAGTATTAAATTGATGGAATAAAGTAAAATAAATTTAAATCATATTTTCGAAAACTAAACAATCGCAAAAACTTTTTGATTGATTGTGCCAAGATTTGTGTTAGTTTTAATGAAAATTATTTCATATTTTATAACTTTATCATCCCTTTCTCTTCGTCCTTTTTTTTAATCTAAATTATTAAAAATTAATTTTCAACATTTCAACAATAATACATTTCATGAAGTTTGATCTTAAGTGACAAGAGATAGTAACAATACAGCTACTGATTTTAAATTACAGAAATTGATTTTGAAATGCTCAAATAAATCCGAAAACTTATTGCTGCCTGAAATAAAACATCGTAAACTGTAGAAAAAAATACTGAATTATAATAAGTTAAAATAAAATTGTATTAAATCCAAAGGATTTAATCTTAATTGAATATTTCTTAGACAAATATGAAACTGTGTTTCAAAATTATATCTCATTTAAGCAATCCATTTATACAACAGCCACCTCATCCAGTTGTAACTGAGCTTATCTACATTGTCTAGAAACTTTCATTTATTTTTCAATTTTCAAAAAACTTCCGACTGTTAACAAAGAGTATGTGCACTGCTTAATATGTTGAAAATTGTTTTTTTGTTCTAAACCATATCTGCTCGCAATGTTGAAATGTTGTAAACGTTTTCTAATCTAACGGTTACACTTATGAGCAATTGATATCATCTCTGAAAGAGCAAAGATCATCTGATAGTGACAATTCTTTACTCACTGTAATCATGCGTTTTTGTCGTAAGTTTGTTAAGCATTTAAACCTTTATATACTAGTTTTTTTTTTTTCTTTGGTATCGGTAAGCTACAATTCGGTTGATTTCTTGCACTTATTTAATTTCTATCATTTAAATCTTTTACTTAAGTTTTTCATTAATTTATTTCACATTTGTAAACTATGAGATACTACGAAATTATCGGTATATTTACCATTATTGACTAACAGCGTATTGTGGTTGTTAGCGAATAAAATCTATTACAATAAACCCTTTTTCAACACATTCTTCTACACTAACTCCAAACCACAACCAAAAAAAAAGGGATGACTTCCTAACAAAGATCTACAATTTTTCGGCATAAACAATGAATGGCAATGTAAATGAGAAGGTTTGATGGATTAAAATAATGAATTATCAGTATATTGTTGCTATTGATTAATACTTGTATATTGTGATT